ATAATAAATATAAAAAGTGTTCAACTTCCAACCGAATGATATTGTTTAATAATAATAGAAATATTTAACACTATAATGGTGTACATATGTTCCTCTTTGTTTCACAAGTCCCCAATATTTTTTGCAAATTCATGATAAACTCTGTTTACTCGACCAGTGTAGAATGAAGTTTCAAGCGAAAACTGAATTTTGTCAGAAAAAAATGAGTATTTGTATTTTTGATGGTTTCAGGGCAGTTTGTGTTTTTCATTTTCTGTCAGTGTCAAGTAAAAAATCGAAAAGTAAAAAGAAATTTTTTTTAAATTGACTGACTCTAATATACACCGAATTGTATTCAATCATTTTTAAATGAGAAGTTGTATAAATCATGCATGAATGTGATTTATTAAATCACATTATTAAGTAAAAATGTTTTTTTTTATTGCTACCTAGATATTTGAAACGTATGAATGCTTATAATATTATAGTACACAAATATTATTCAACATTTTTTAAAAGTTAAAAAACTTTTTTTGTTTAACGAAATTTTTTTAATTTTTCAAACCACTTCAAGTCAGGATTTGTTGACTAACATGTGACCAAGAATTTCATTTATATCTCTCTCGCACGATTTGAAATGTTCCCTCAAAATTTTTTCGCGAAAACAAAAGTGAAATCGAATTGAAACAACCAAGTAAGACAGGAGTATCATCATTCACAACGGTTCTCTGCAGTTGCAGTTAGCGTCAATATTATATTTTGATAACTCAAACTTCAATCAATTTGCTGAGCAATAGTAGAGACTGAGCCAGCACAAACAAACGTTTGAAGATCTTGCATGTAGGTAGAACAACAACTTACCCATTTCGGAATGTTAAACAGAAACTTTAATAAAAACTTAAAACGTCATTGTGCAACTGAAACTTTAAGGAGTTTTTATTATTAACGGTGTTATCTTTGACGAGTATCAAATGTTTCACTCATTTAAAAACTATTTTAAAATTCTAGTAAAAATTCCATACCATCTATATAAAAACAGTAAAGAATAGTCTAAATTCATGTGCATAATACAGCAGAGTACCTGCAACTGGAAGGTACTCTAGAATAAATGTTCTATGCATCCAGGTAATTAAAACATCATTAGCACATTTTTGGCATGCGCATCCGTCTTTTTTTTTATCTTTCCTTTATTTTTCTCCTTCTATTTGTTAGATTTTTTATTATTTTTATGTATTTTTATTTCTCTGTTATTCTTTGTCTATTATATATTTAGCAATAACAAATTCGCATTTTGTTTACGTACACATTCACTGCAAAAAATTGATTCTGCTAAACAATGCTTCCCAGATCTCCGTGGTTTATGTACCTCCTTTTGTGTGTGCAAAACAAATAGTATAAAATATTTATGAATGGCAAGTTATACATCTGTATTATTCTGATAAAAATATTCAACCCTCTGTTTGTCTGTTAGTCATTGTCGATAAAACTGTGACCGACAATGGGAGAGATGGGCAAGGTGATGGAGTGTAGCTGGAATTGAGAGAAGTTTTTCTTTAATTGTTGCAGTTATGACCAGTGTACATTGTTATTTATTTCGCGAGTTTATCCACTGCAGGCTGTGTCGACGGGTATGAATGCATGGACATTAAATCAACGTTAACACGGGATTACCACTTTTATCAAGTTCTTCTCGCGACGGCAGAAGAAACGATGATGATGCTACCACTGCTGCTGCTGCTGTTGATGGTGATGATGTTGTTGTTGGTGACGTTGATGTTGTTGTTGCTGTTTATGTTGCTGTTTATGTTGTTGTTTTTGGTGTTGTTGATGATGATGAAAAATATGATGATGATGATGAATATGGTGTTTGTTATATTTGCTGATGACAATTAGAATGGTGGTAATAAAGTGATGATGATGACGATGATGGTGATGACGATGATGGTGATAGTGATGGTGTTGGTGATGAAGTTGATGATGAAACAAACAATCGGCAATACTTGAAACCATTATATGAAAAAAATGATTGTATTTATGGTGAGTATGATTACAAGGAAGAATAATGACTGCTACCTTGTTAACAATGTGCCAACATTTCATAAACATCTTATGAACTTTTTTATTAATAAATACAAAACCGACCAAAGAAAAAATATTTATACAGCCGAACATTATTTACATAAAAATATAATACAAAAACAACAACAACCTTAACATCCACAACAACAAAATTAACAGCAACAACATCAACAACAACATCAACATTAAAAACAATATTAACAACAACAACAACATTAATAACAGCAATAACAACAACAACATTAACAGCTACATTAACAGAAACATTAACAGAAACATTAACCATAACATGAGCAACAACAACATTAGCAACAACAACGACATCACCAACCACAACATACACATCAACAACATTAACCACAACATTAACAACAACGACAAACATATTTAAAATTCTTTACAAGCCCACAATAAAGCTGCTTGTGAATAAGTTGGTGGTCCGGTTCTTGGTTTTTTTTTTGTGCTGGTTTATTCAAATTAAATTTTTCTAGACGTTGTTGTACATTATACAATTTTTTTTTAGTAGAAAATCTTTGTTTTTAACATACAAAATCTCTCTGTGTACCTAGTTTCTTAAATGAAAATTTAATTATATTAGCGACTAGACCTTTTTTAGCGACACATATTGGCTTTTTTTTTTTAAAATTCGCATTAACTCAAATATTACTTTTTGCATATGAGAGAAAGATGTGTTAGTTATTTACTATATAAAAACAAAATAATTTCCAATTACATGCAAGCGAAAAGTGCAAGAACACTGTGACCAGAGAAAGAAAATTAAATGCCGTTGCGAAGGAAGTTCGCCAAATGAAATTTTTTTGCTGAAATTCTTTTCTCATTAAACCAGGAATTTAGTTTTAATGAATTTTTTCCATGTCTTTGTCAACTAACTTGATTGCAGATGCGAACGTGTGAATGTGTGCTTGCAAATAACCTTAAGTCTTCTGTTGTAGGTTGCCATTGTACAAAATTTAATTTGGCTTTTTTTGTCATGTAATTAATTCCACGAATTTGAATTTTTTAGAAACATCTCATTGGTTTTTAGTTTTTCAGAAGAATATTTAAAAAGATCATATATTACTCAAATAAATCTTATTTATTTTCTAGTTTTCAATTTTTTTTTCAATGTTTATTTCATAGCACATGATTTACTCAGAATTAACTTGAAAAATAAATTATTAAAATTTTTAGGTGAATCATCTGCTTGAAATGTTGAAGACACCAACAGCAGAACAACAAACAATGATGTTATCATCATCAGCATCGTTGTCATCGCCATCACTATCCTTATCATCACTATCATACTCTAGTCAATCTGTAGCATTTAAACCAATTGCTCGAAACTTTGCTCATGACAAAGAAACATTCTGTTAACTGCAAGCTGTTTGCTCAGCTGCAAGCTGTTAGCTTTTAGTTGCAAGCTGTTAGCTACAAACTGTTATTTGCAATGCAAGCTGACAGTTGTTAGCTGACAGTTTTTAGCTGTAACTTTATAGCGGCCACTTGTTAGCTGGCGTTTGTTAGCTGGCATTTGTCAACTGCAAGCTGTTAGTTGCAAGCTAATAATCGCTATATTTTGATACATTACTTTTCGTTAGCCTAGGTCATGTTACGTGCTAATGTTGTCAGTGCTTGGTTGAGAATTAATGTTGAAACTAACATGCTACATACCTATAACATATAATAGTCTATCAAACTGTTTAATGTATGTTGTATGTTGCGTGTTGTGTATGCAGCGTTACAAAATGTCTAACTATGATACAACGCATGCAAAGAAATTTAAAATCTGTGGAACTTGTATATATCATATATATATATATATATATATTATATAAATTAATTAACTAATTTTATATAAATATATAATGTATATATATATATATATATATATATATATATATATATATATATATATATATATATATATATATATATATAATTTGCAAATAGTTAATTAAACTTGCTTTTATTGAATTATACTAAAATCAAAAATTATTTATTTGTATTATTTAATGAAAGAACTAGTGATCAGAAATTCATGATACGTCATTATCAGATGTGTTTTGCTGATAAATTGAAACTTATTTATGTATATAATAAACTGGTAATTTATAGCTATATAATCAGATGAACATCTTTAATTTACAATGTATATATATGTATATATATAAATATATATAAATATATATACATATTAATTATATATGTATTTTTATTTATGTATTCATTATTTATTCATTATTTATTCATGTTAATTTATTATAAGTACGTGTGTGTATTTGCGCGTTTGTGTGTGTGTGTGTGTAAATATTTATTTGTTGTTAACTCAGTTATCTTTCAAACTTTACCAGCTTAATGATGTAATTTCATTTGTTTCATTAAGTATTGATTTATGTGCTGGTATAAGTAAACTCAACAGTCGTCACCGAAAAATATGTGGTTCTGAAGAATGGACCAATACTACAACATATAAACAGGCAACAATTGAGTATGTGATTTGTTGGTAGAAATGGTTATGGTAATTCATTTCATTTTTTTTGGCGTTCAAATTTAAGTTAATCATTATTTTAAATGTTTAAGAATCAAATCATTTTTTATTTTAAATTCTAAAAAATTAAATGATGTAAATGATGTTGTTAACATTCGTCACATGTTTTAAATATTTAGCATGGTTTGCAGAGTACAAACATTGTTTTTATTAAACTTAGTTCTAAAATAATTTGACGATTTTGTTGTTTTCATAATTTTGTTTAAATTTGTTTTTTGTCAAAAGCAGAAAATATCGCAACATGTACGAAAATACAGAAATAATAAAGTAAATCAATAAGAGTTTAATAATCCCATTTATATGACGAAAAAATAAATTCAAGAAAAAAAAGAACTTTTTGAAATTTAAAAAAATTGATATTATTGAATAATTGCACTAAAATGCTTCCATTTTGTCAAAACATGTGACACCAGACGAATAAACAGCTGTTAGTAAAAGGAGTAAATAAATACTACGTCAGCTCAAAATCACAGAGATGCGCAATTATATTAACATCATATTAACTCTTTACCAGCCTAATAAAGAGCACAGAAACAGACATTTCAAATATTTCAATGCTAAAACGATTTGTTTTATTTATTTTACTTAAAAATTTATAACATATTTTTATTAAAATTATTTCATTACGTATTTTAGATTCAAAATAGAACAATCTTGGGTGTATATTTCGGAGGACGAAAGATTTATCTTACATTTTGACCACTAAAATATTAATATTAAACGGCACGACTCACAAAAACGATCAGAGAGTTAGCTCAGTCGGCAGAAGCGCCATGTTTCGTACTTTTATACGTGATGACCTGGTTTGAATACTTTCTATTTCTATCTAAAACTCAAAGACTGCATATGCACATAATGTGCAAGTACGTGTGGATGTTATTTTGGATTTGTAAAAACTTTTAATGATAGAGTGTGACGTTAAATGAACAGTTTGACATGGACGTTTGGTTATTTTAATATAAAAGTTTTCATAATGTCAATTTTAAAATTTTTTATTAAATTTTAGTAAGAAATGTATACATATCAATTGTGTTTGAACTTTGAATGATCATTTTCAAAATTTAATATCGCATTACTGAGTACACATACACACCACAAACACACACACATAACACACACATAACACACACACACATACACACATATACACACACACACACATATATGGAATACATCGTCGCGTTCGACGAATTGTGTCATTGATGAGTCCTTTGATGCGAGAACAAGCCTATTCTTGATGAACATCGACGACCACAGGTTCCGCAGACCCACACCCCTGTGCTGTTACCATCCCGGGCCACCTGGTAACGCCGTCCTCTTTTTCCAACTAGAGCTGCAATGCGCGCCTCCTCAAAGGCGGAAACTGCCGCTTGTGAGCGTGTCTTCCACCGTGAACGCTCGAGCGCAACGACACCCAAGGTTTTAGAATCCAGTCCGACTTTTTTTAGGTTTTCCTTCAGATTATCTTTAAATTTGTGAACTGGACCGCTTGCAAGGCAAACTCCAGAAGCCAGCTGTCCGAAAAACACCTGTTTGGGAATTCTTGTGTCCGGCATGCGGATAACATGTCCCGCCCAATAAAACTGTGGCTGTAACAAAAACGCCTCGATACCCAAGATACAACACATTTCCAATACAGTCGTATTTGGCACTCTATCCTCCCATTTAACGTTAGCGATAACCCGTAGACATCTCATATGAAACTGATCGAGTCTACGTATATGGCGCCTATAAGTAATCCATGTCTCACATCCATACAACATTGTGGTTAACACAACTGCCTTATAGACAGATATTTTAGTAGCCAGCGACACACCCCGTTCCTTCCAGAGTCGTCCACTCAAACCACCAAAAGCAGCACCAGCCTTGGCAATCCTAACCGTAATTTCATCATCGATTGCAGTAGTGTTGGAGAGGTAGCTACCAAGGTAGCAAAATCGATCCACAGCGTTCAACTGCGAGCCACCAATAGTTACGATGGCTTTAGAATCCGACGAAAAAGAATAGCTTTGGTGCAGAACCTCTGTTTTCTTCCTGCTCACCGTGAGTCCAAACCTTTCTGCAGTAGTGTGGAAACAGTTGAACAGAGCCTGAACTTCACTTTGTGTATGTGCAACCAAAGCGCAGTCATCCGCAAAGAGCAGGTCGCGGACTATTGTGGTTTGTGTTTTTGACTTCGTCTGTAGGCGTCTGATGTTGAAAACGTCTCCATCCATGCGATAGCAGATTGGAATGCACTCTACATAATGTTGAAAGGCGACTCGAAGCATTAGGGAGAAGTAAATGTTGAACAGCAAGGAAGCCATGACACACCCCTGCTTGGTACCATTCGTCACCTCAAAGTCCGGGGATCGATCACCATTTTCAACTACGGTTGCCCTCGTGCCTTCATGGAAGGAGCGAATAATCGACACTAAAATCGGAGGACAACCGATCTTTTTGAGACATTTCCATAACGCTGAACGGTTGACGGAATCGAACGCCTTTGCTAAATCTATGAAGACGAAGAAAAGTTCGCGTTGTTGCTCACGACATTTTTCTTGAAGTTGTCTGGCAGTAAAAATCATATCCATAGTACCACGACCAGCCCGAAAGCCACACTGACCCTCTGGAAGGATACCAACATCATTGACGTACTTGGTTAAGCGGTTGACGATCACGCGGGCCAATATCTTTCCAGGAATCGATAGCAGAGAAATGCCTCTGTGATCATCACAGCATGAACGATTCCTTTTCCGTTTAAATATGTGAATGATAAGAGCATCCTTAAAATCTTGAGGAACCGATTTCCTATCCCACATGTCTTGGAACATTGTCAACATCATGGTTATAAGTTCGATGACACCACATGTGAAGAGTTCTGCCGGCAGCCCGTCCAAACCCAGAGCTTTTCCATTCGACATTTGGGTGATTGCTTTTTCCACTTCAGACAGGCTAGGGGGATCATCGAGATCACCTGCAATGCTTCAGTCAGGCAACTCAGCAAGGACTAAGTCATCAAACCGGGATTCTTGATTTAGCACACTGTTGAAGTGTTCAGCCCAACGAGCCAGGATTCCAAGGCCATCCTTGATGAGTGTTTGACCATCTTTAGACAGTACCGGGACACTACCGGAGCTGCGGGGACCAAACACAGTTATCAGATTTCTGTAAAATGATTTCATGTTCCCGCGGCCGGCCGCTACTTGCAATTTATCAGCTCTGGCAGACCACTAAGATTCCTTCATCTGACGAAGCCTTCTCTGTGCAAAACTGCGTGCTTGCGTGTAGCATGCTTTCTTGACGCAGTTGCCCCAGTCATCTATCCAAGAAAGATGGGTGCTGTGCATGTTGTCCATCAGCCCACGTGCCTCCGTATCCTGATCGTCGAACCAGTCCCTATGCTTAATACGCTGATATCCAAGCACATTAACCGCAGTTATCTCCACAATCTGCTTGAAATTTGACCATTCTGTGCTCTCATTTGTTGAAAACTCACCACACAATGCTTCGCGGAACAAATTTCTAGCTGACGGTTCTGTTAGCCGAGTCACATCCAGATTGGCTTTCCTTACAGTTTTGTGATGCCTTCTGACTGGTTTAACAGTAAGAAACACCGACATCTTGATGAGGCGATGATCTGACCACATTGTTGATGCTCGCACCGCTGTAGTTAGACGAGCGAGACGAAGATCGCGTTGTCTGATAAGTATGTAGTCGATGAGATGCCAGTGTCCTGAACGTGGATGTTTCCAGCTAGTCTTCTTCCTGTCAGCCTGTTGGAAGACTGTATTTGTCACCACAAGATTGTGCTCTGTACAAAATTCGAGGAGCATGGTTCCATTTGAATTTTCCCTACCAACTCCATTTCGTCCAAGCACTTTTGGCCACAAGATGTGGTCTTTACCCACACGGGCGTTAAAATCACCCAAAATGATGGTTGTGTGGTGTTGAACGAACAGCGTCACCGAGCTGCTCATAAAACAAGCTCTTCTCCTCAAACGTTGCTCCAAGCGTTGGCGCATAGCAGCTGATCAAGGTAGCAGTGTGACCACCCTCCAGGTTGAGCTGCATCCTCATTAGGCGTGGTGAAATACCATAAGGTACCTCATGTACAGATTTCAGGAGTGTGCTACGAATTGCAAAGCCCACTCCACCAGTACGCACCTCACCTGCAGGATGACCTTGGCAAAAGAAGGTGTAACCAGCACCTCTCTCCTCAAACTGTGTTGCTGCAGAGATTCTTGTCTCGCTGAGCGCAGCAACATCGATGTCATAACGCGCAAGTTCACGCGCAACAATGGCAGATCGACGCTCATGACACTTCCCAAGATTCAACATTGTCCGGACGTTCCATGAAGCCAAATTTAAAATTTTTCTTTTCTTTTGACCGCATAATAGAATACCCAGTCAGCCGCGGTAGGCTGACAAGGTCGGCAACATACTGGCTAGCTTTTTTTAGGACAGATTTTTTAGTTCCCTCTCCGGTTGGAGAAAGCAGTGCATCCCTGAATAGGGCTGCTTTGTCACCCTGGCAGGATACGAAAATTGCCGCCTGTATGTTGAGTTGTGACTAGACACTGCCAGTAGTACCCTCTACCTGTGCCCGTCGCCACTCGCCAATTGCCGCAGGACTTTGTTTGCACATCCATTCAAGCATCAGACCACCAAGACCACCTTCACACTGGTTGATTTAAGTGGAGCATGTTTGTGCGGCATGCTACACTCTCTCCTCCACAGGGGTCGGTATCAGCAGGCACAACGAGTTGAGACACGCCGAGCGACCAGTGTGGACGCAGAAGTTTGGATGAAACTGCGGTGCAGTTTTATCCTCGTAGCCAACTATCCTGGCTAGATTTTTAACTGGGTTTACTCCCAAGCCTTTCCCAAGCGAGGGTATAGCCGCAAGGCTGCGGAGGTTTGAAATCAGAGTTTTCCTTCTCCTAGATGGTATTTCCTTACGAGCGCCATCCGCCCGGAACCTGGTTTAGGCGCCAGTAACTCGCCTTCGCCCTCTGCTGTTAGTTAGTAGCAGCCCCCGCCACGTGCAGGAAGGAGTAGGACTTCGATGGTCGTAGCGCGCACGCTACAAGCCTTTGGTGGCATTTTGTAGAACTGGGGAGTTCAGCCCCCAGATCACCACCGGCAAGCCATCGCGTTTGGGGACCCACACACACATATGCACACACACACATATACACACACACATATATACACACAACACACACACACACACTAACGGACACGGATAATTTATACAAAGGTGTGAAGTTAATTTATTAATAATTGAATAAAAATAATCACTTTAAACAGAAAATTAACTTAACAAATACGTTCATGTATTTCTACCTAAATGTATAAATTTATATTATTATATTATGAAACAATTTCTAAATGGTATAATTTCTACATGTATAATTGTACATTCAGGAAATCCTCTCTCACATTTAAAGACGCATAAGTATTACACACACACTACGCACACACACACACACACACACACACACACACACGTACACACACGTACACACACACATAATATATATATATATATATATATATATATATATATATATATATATATATATATATATATATATATTATGTGTGTGTGTGTGTGTGCGCGTGTGTGTGTGTATAGTGAAAAACGTTATGACTGTTGAATGAGTTTTGTATCTTAATAATTTTTCATTTAATTCACAGATTTAATTAATAAACGCTTATATATATATGTATGATTAAAGTTTAAATAAGTACGACTCTGCAGGCTTGTCTGTCTTGTGTGCTTATGGGTATGACTTTACACTGGTTTCTTATTGACATTATTTATTTGGTTTGTAAAATATATTCCTATATTGTGTTTAACAAAAAATACGTGTTTGTTATTTGGTTTTTATTGTTTAAAAATAATGTAATAGAAATTAATTCGCAGTAGAGTTTAACGAATCAAAGCAACCTTCTTCTACATTCAGTCAGTTATTCGTTTGTTATTTGTTCTAAATGAAGTTTCTGCAAGTCTTTTGAGGATCTACAACTACAATAAGTTTTGTTTCCATCTGCAGAAGTTTAAACTTCGATAGCGGCTGAAATCAAACAAAATAAATTTTTTAAACCGAAAGTTTCTCAATCTTAATTTGCATTAACCAAGTGATTTAAATGATATAATAAGTTAGAGAAGGAAGTCATTTTTAAAGAAAAACCATAAAACTCTTAAAGACGGACCCGTAAGTGAAGCCCCATTGCATTGCTAGCTGGTTGCTTGTTATTGCTGCTGATAGATGTAAACATGATCGTTATCCTTGCGAGAGCAACTTTTATTTGATCGTAAAATTTCTTGAAAGTTAATTAGGCGGTGTGCTGACAGATAGGAAGAAAGCCAATTTCGCCTCTTCCACCGACGCCTGTATTGAATAATAAAAATGCGGCATCTAATGAGTGACAAATATTGGCGTGCTATGTTAAACGACGGGCATCCACGTTCAAATAACAGCCAGGTCACTTGAATTTCAACATGTCATCCAGCCTTTTTTCGAGACAAATTCCGTTAACATTAAATTTAACGACTTATTTGCTATTAAAAAACCAATGAATGAATTAACAATAGGTTGTGGAAATTGATTTATAAGTTTGAAAATTTGTGTAGGTGTATAAGCAGAGTACCTGTTTTATCTCGTCGAGCCAGTGAGCAATCAATAACTTCTTGCTCGTCACACCTTCTTTCAAAAATTCAAACGAATTTCAAATCGATAAAATTCTATTCAAACATTTCTTAGAAAATTGATATCTTTTTTCAATTCGAGGAATATCTATTGTTCAACCTATATGGTAAAAAAACAGCTAAAAAAATCTATTAAAAGAAAAAATATTTGTATTGCTATTGCATTCATCTTATTTCAAAAATATTCGCAAAAATAAAAAGTTAATCTGCAAAGAAATGAAAAGAAATAACGAAAACGAGAACAGCATAAATTGGGTCAGTTAATTTAATTGGCATAAATTGGGTCAATTAATTTAATAAGCACTGGTTGATCTCATGTTCTGGAAATACACTCAAAAATCATTCTAATCATTAGAACAAACAGAAACTCTTGCGTAAATACAAAAGGTCAACAAACTAAAAATATTAATCACGTGATCTTGTGTGAGGTCACGTGGGGTGAGGCGTGGTCACGTGTGGGATGAGGCCTGGTCACGTGTGGATTCACATGTGAGTTGATGTGAAGTTAAGGTGATGTGATGGTTAGGACTGGAACATTTCAATGACGGATCGTTTTAATAGCGGTGGTTAAAGTTTGTCGCTACAATTATTTATAACAGTTTGATCAAACATTATTATTAATTTATATTGTAAAAATTAATCTATATTATAAAATTATTTTGTAGTATTAAATTAATCTATAGTATGCAAATATATACGATAAAATAATTTTACTTTTAAGCAACTCCAAGAAAGGGAAATTTTTTTACAAAAAAAAAATAGAGAATAACGTTTTCAGAACTTAACAATGTTGGAGTATTTATCAAGCCATTCCTCTAACCATCAACACTATTCACATTTGGATACACCACACATTTCATTTGATAAAATTATCGAATCGTTTGATTGGCGTTCAAATGTTCACGCATTTAGCTTTTGATCAACATTTTTTGCACGAATAACGTTCAGATATTTTTACCAATTAAATTTATTTTTATTAAATCGCAGTAAAACAAATAATAAAAACAACTGTTAGATTCGCTGACGACATAAACTGAAAAATGTGGTTTAGGAGAGAGCTTCAATAAAATTCAATAAGAGCTTTCTCAAAACATAATTATATAAACATATGTGTGTGTGTGTAGGTCTATGTTTAGCTGTTTGTCGTGTTTTTCTATATTTGTATATATATGCGTGTATGTGTTTTAATACACAGAAATGATTTGAAGACAGGCAAATGAAAGAAGAAACTTTGATGGGTAGGTACTTTCGAAATGTTGTTTACTTAAATCTTCAATTGTTCGATGTTTCGTTGTTTAGCAGGGTTAAAGAAGACTATATACAATACATACGTATAAAATATACTGAGACCTGTATGGACAGTATAAACAGTGCTGATTTAAAAAATAAGTTTAAACCAATATTTCGAATGTAGAAAAAGTAGCAGGTACTATATAGAAAAATACGTAGAAAAACAAATGCCATGCAGTGCTTACGCAATGGTAACAAATTATCCCCGCTCTATAATCAATGTTGCTTCGAAGCTCCAAATCTATTTATGCCTTCCGGTTTTTTGATGGCACAAAACGTTGTCGCCAGTAACTGTTGAGTAATTTTTCAATGTTGCAAGTAAGTTTTAAGAATCAATATTTGTTATTTTAATTTTATATCTTCAAAATACCAGCAAAAGATGCAACAACAGGCAAGATGTCGAGAATAGAAAAATAAGGAGTAGAGTCAGCTGCGTAACGAAACTAATTTGCTTGCTGACCTCGTGCTGTCATGAATTTATTAAATATATGAGCACTCAATAAAACTTTGCCATTTATTAAATTTTGTCTATTCTTTTTTTATTATCGCTCATTTAATTTACTAGTCTATTAATTAATTATTTTTCTATTTTTCTTTTTTAACCATTATTTTACTTTCCATACTTTTCATGCTTAAACATTTTTTTCATCGTTATTTATTTTTCGTTATCATTTTATACTATTGCCTCGCATGCCGTAACAGTTTCTGCGTTTGTCAGTTTCTGATTTTTTTTAAAGAATAATACTAATACTCACGCTAACTGCACTCGACCACGAAAGAAATTTGCAAACTCAAACGAAATAATGATGAAATATTTATTTAAAGTTTTTACTTGTGGGAATGTGTCTCAATGATAACTAAATGTTAGCTACTTAAATGTTTCTGTTACAGAATGTGAATCAACAGTAACAAAATTTAATATAAATCTCCAACTATTTTAATCCAATCTAGAGCTTTATATAATCAAATCAAGGATAAAGTGTTGGACGTGTTAATGGTTAGTAATTTCGTTCATCATCGAGTGTGTAAGCTGTTATATATGTGCGTGCATGTATGCGTGCGTGTGTGTTTACGCGTGTGCATTTTCATGATCGTCGTGTGAGCGCTTAGCAAACATATTAGTGAGCATTTAGATCAAGTTACGTTGGTTGCTCATGTGGACAGACATGTGGAAACGCAGATAGGAACACACACGATGCAAACAAACATTTCTACATGCACTCTATGTTTACATTTTTTGTCTCTCTGTGAGTTTGTGTTTGTCTGTGAATGTGTCTGTATGTTGTGTGACTGTGTTTGTATATTTTATGGCTATAAAGTTGTTATTAAATTGTTGTTAAAAAGTTCATAATTCTGGATGTTTGTAAATGGTTTTAATATGTTTCGGCGAACATGTTTGATGAAAAATTTCAAAACGATATCACATTTTTTAAGCATCCATCCTGTGCGAAATTTTAAATTTTATATTTAATTGTGTGAAATTTTTTGCGCTAACATTAACGCTTCTCCGCATTTGGTTGAAAATCGCAGAAAACCGCACACCCCTTGTTTCAGTGTTCACATCTGTTCATTCGTACAAAACTAAATATACTCCTGTTAAAATTATCATCATAAAAAATGACTGACCAGCTGGCCGGCGCTAAAGTTTTGGTTTACCGAAAAAGAAAAATTATCTTGCCGACCTATGTGCATAATAAAAAAAGGGCAGACTGACTGTTGAGATGTACTAATCTATTCAGAGGCTCAAATTTTTTTACGATGATTTCTTTCAGTCTATTTATAAATTAATTATTCAAAAGTTAGTGACTATTTTTTAGAACTATAACAATTGAAAACATTTTAAAGACAGTATGAATAATTCAAGTTTCGTTGTAGAAAAATCATCGACTTTTTCTTACTTTGAAGTGCTTGCAAAAATGTTGATTGATTGGTTTGCCTGCCTGATCTTCATATCTTCAAATTTTATTCGACACTTCAAAATTAAAAAAATAATTATAAAGATCATGGAATGAACCAGGGGATTATTTTCTGCAGTGTCGTTTCAAAAAATTCCATTATTAAATAGTTAATTCAGCTGCTTTCAGGTCCATTTCACAATATTTTATGAAGAAAAGATTGTAATTAATTTCAACGAACAAATATGTTGACACCTGAATTAACTTAAAAATGTTGACATGACAGGACGTAATATTATTTCACATTAACCAGCTGTAAGATATTATACCGATTTAACGATCGTATTAATCTTGTATTAAGATAGGTGCGTCACGTGTAGTCATTACACATCCATCCACCACAAGCACCACCTCAAGTACATGCAAGCAAGCAAACAAACAAACACACACAGACATGCACACACAAATGCACACGAAGATGCACAAACACACTGATAAGTAAACCACACACACACACACACACACACCACACACTCTCTTTCATAATAGATATAAGATACAGTTCGGTGTTGAACTGGGGATCAACGAAAAGGACGACGAGAATGAAATTGTTATTTTAAATGAATCTGATCAAACGTGCAATTTAAACCATGAAAAATGTTTCATATTACTGAATGTAGGTGAGCATATGTTCAGATAAGTATAAACAAAAGAAAAGTAGTTTTTTTCATATTTTAATCATTTCAACTTTGTTCCTAAAAATAAATGATTGAATTATAAATCAGTACATGCACTTTCCGTATTAAATGTTTTAAAACCAATTAAAATTTTTTAAATTTAAATAAGATTCTGCAAACGTAAATAGATGTTTTAATGAAAATGATTATTTTATACAAATTTGAAATGCGTAAGCTTATGTTGGATCAAAGTGACAAAATGTTGTCAGCAGGTCTTCCTCCTCCCAGATCGTTCATGTGCTGCTCACATACAAGAACCAACAAATATAAATGGTAGCATTTTTAAAATCATTAAAATTAAACGGAGATATTGGAAGAAATAAAAAATATTTAAACTTGAGTATAACTGGAAACCAGCTTGAACCAACTGAACCCATGCACGAGTCAGCCAGCCACTGGATAACTGATTAATAGCCTCATTATTTACTCATGCATGCACATGCATAATTGATTGCACATGAATAAACAAACTGCGGCTCAAAAACTTTCAGTCAAAATTTGTTAAAAGCCAAGGTACAGTGAATATTTTGATAAATTCTGTTATAAAATAAGTTTGCTAAAATAAGTTTTTTCTAAACAATCTTTCTGAAGCAGATGCATTGAAACATATTAACATTCTAATATTAATCTTTGCAAAAAAATTCATTCTCGTAAACTTTAAAAAGAGCAATGAAAAATGTTAAACAATTCTTAATTGGCGTCATCATCACCAGAAGTTTCCGTCTCCCTAAAACCTAAGGCGACGTAGTGGAAGGTTGGTGTATGTAGGTTGATCACGTGAGACAACGCCATTCAGCTATATAGGACAGTTTGTTACAAAATTATCCCGTCTTTGAGATAAATTCTAAAAAGAAATTAGATAAAAAAAAGTCAATTCAGTCCAATTTAAATTTTGAAATTGGTATAATGAAAAATAGCAGCTTGGTAAATTTCAAAAACTTATTATCTTTGTATAACTTCAGCTATATCAGGCTTTAATGTTTTCTTGAAATGGTTTTAAATCGAGCTCTATTAACGTGCATCTTTCTCTGTTTGGTCTGAAGCGTCATCACCGCACCGAATCTCTGCAAAGATGGAAACGCAGAAAATAATGGTTGAACAGTGGACTACAATCCAAAATTTGATAGCTTAACATCATGGTCATTGTACTTGAACATCTGTGTTGAATACTTTTTTCTCAATTTTTAGAACGTTTTCAATTGAGATATCATAATTCGATTTCCCTAATTTTATTGGTGAACAATAGCGTTGTTGTCGCTAAAATGCTGACATTTTTGAAAAGTTATGAAGCTCGAGCCTGTTAGTGTTTTACGATCAAAATGAGAAAACAAAAACGAGATCAAATAGACGTCACGTCATAGATAGCTTGTGACGTGTGCGTAGTACCTATCCAGATGACTACAAAATACAAATCAGCTATTCAATCAATCAATCAATCAATTAGCTTATAAAGCGCTATTTCCGCGATGTTCAACAGCGCTCCTCAATGAATTTTGAAAACAGATGGGTCTTGAGATCCGCTCTGAACTTCGCAAGCGATGGAGAAATAGTTAGAGAAGTAGGCAGAGAGTTCCAGAGAAAAGGACCAGAAAAAGCAAAAGCAGATTTGGCAAAAGAGTGTTTAACACGAGTTAAGAAAAAGCGAGAAGAAGAAGACGATCGTAAACCGGGGCGTTTAGGTTCAATTAATATATCTGATAAGTACTTAGGAAATAATTTAGATTGAGACTTATACATGAACGTGCAAATTTTAAAAATTATTCTATATTTTATAGGTAGCCAGTGCAAGAGAACAAGATATGGAGATATATGAGAAAAGAAAGGGGCACGAGTCTATTGAGTCTAAAAAACTCTCAAACATCCTCCAATTTTTTCCACGTTTGTTTCTTACTGCTCCCTCGGAACCTTTGGAGCTTATAAAAAATACTTGAAACTTTTTGAGCACGCCATCAACAAAATATTGTAACAAAAACAAATTTAAACTAACAAATAAAATATGTAGAGATATGATCACTTTGATTTGTTGAGTAGCCGAAGTATCTAAAACGAAAAAAAGCATTGGCATAAGACAAATGAAATATTTCCAGAACAAATTGAACAATGACGTAAAGACACCACCACACATCACCACACGTGTCAGACGCTCTGTGGTCACCATGACAACCCTAGATGACTCAAATTGTCGGCAGGTCGTGTGTGTCAATAATTATTTTCCGCCTGTCAGAGCTTTCTTGTCTCTCGAATGCGTTATTTCCATACTATACTTTATATGATCCACTCTTCAGTTATTCTTTCTCAAATGCCTGCTTGTTTGTTCCATTTTTTATATATTTTATCGTGTATTTCATTTTACATTATATTGATTCTAAATTTTTTTGCTTGTAAATGAAATGTTAAACATTAAAATCAAAATTAAATGATAATTAAAATTCCAAGCTTCCCAACTAAACTAATCTTGAATAAATTTGAGTGTAAAGTGAAAAAAACATATGTTTTGTTGGAAAAACAATTTTTAAAAAATTCAATTCTAACTACGATATTCTCTAAGCCTTATTTTAAATAAAACCTCACTTAGAATATCAATCATCAAACGCAGCGTCAAACTGGGAACAACGAATTTACATAATTTAGCTTCATTTGTGGATATATTCTCACAAGATTTTGCAAACATTTGCATCGTGTAAATTGTGTAAATAAGAGTCAGAGTATCTGTGATAACAGAGAGATAACACAAAGTTTTGAGATTTTGTAAAACTAAACACGAATCAGTCCCTTCAACACAAAATATTTTATTCAGAATCATAGCGCTTTTTTTGACGAATTGTCAGCTGTTCTGATGAAGCATTGATGAAATGATCAATGACTCACATCAGGTTTCTGCGATATCTCTCTCCACACACACTATGCTGAAGCTGGTTGGTTTTATTCATCCATTTGGGATCATTCTACAGGAATTATTAACTGTCTGTTGTTATTTGTGTTCGAATTTTATATGTAGGCATTTTGTGTTGTATATTACATATCTACAAAAGTCAATCTTCATTCTTCATTATTAATTTTCATTAATTCAAAAATTTAATTGATGCATTGAAATATTTTGCACAACAGTAAGGCGATAAAAAATGAAGTTCGCTTTTAAAAAGACAGAAACTCGTACGTATTTAACATGATAGCCATCCAGTAATAACAAGCACACCGTTGTCGTCAACATGGCCGATATCATTTTATACATTCAAAATGGTGAAAAAACATTCGATTCATTGCTTTCCATTTCTAAAATTAGAAATTTAAACTTCAACTGCAATGTCGTTAGCGAGAAATGATTGCATATTTCGCTTTTAATGATGCTTTAGTAATCCAAATGCATGCCATCCGGCACTGCAGATGTCACATTGTTAGAAATGTTACCTCAGTCTCATTCCATTACTGTCATTCCGACATTACTGCAATTATTGTAACTTCGCAATAATGTTATTGCTGCTTCAAATTAAATTAATAATGTTAGTTATATTTCTGGTTTGTTGCATTTTGGTGATAATGATATTATAAAAATTTCATGATGATGACATGATGTTGATGATGACATGATGTTAAGCAGCACTGAGCTCCGTTCAAGTACCACAGCATTTGAAACGATGGAGGTGATGTAGTTACGAGGTTGGGTTAGTGAAAGTTCATGAAATTGACAATATCGGAACAATTTTTTGTTTGTTTTTGTTTGTTTGTCTGTCTGTTTGTTTGTTTTAAAGTCAATGAAGCCATTTGAATTTTATTGCTAATTATTTGTAGAATCCTATTCAGATGTTGTGTTGATAACCACTGTTAAATAATTTGCAATGTTTTAAAACAAATTTTACAAGATACATTTAAAAAACTATTTTAATTTATAAAATGCTGTCAAAAAACATTTTATTTATTTCACATTAGCTAAAAAAGTTCGAAAAAATCGACAGAATGTTGATAAAGAGCAGATTTTTAATTACGGATGTTCGAATGAACGGCGCCAGAACGAAGAAACCCGGGAATAAACAAAGTGCAAAGAATGGAACAATTAAACAATTAAGAGAGGCAGGCAGCGTGCACTGGGAACGACGCCAACAACAACAGCCTGAAAGTGGAAAATTATAAACAGACTGCCTGCCTGACTTCTTTAAACTGCAAAAACTTTTTCAGAACTCGTGCTGCACAGAAACATCAGTGCTATATTCAACACGCATCAAATAATAAGGTCAGTAAATCAAAACATTTTTAAAAGACGGTGGTCGTGAAATGTTAGCATAGTAATCAACATCTGGGTTTCTTAAGAACTGGTATAAAATTTTAAAATAATTTAAAAAGCGTCATACATAAAAACACCAGAAACAACCATTAATATCAAAATCTAACGAAATAAGCATAATAAAATACATATGTGTATACGATCATATACGAAATTATGTTAATGAACATCCTGGTAACATCGAAGCCAGCAAAGAAACAACGGAAAAATAATCTAAAATGGGAGACACACACACTACCACTTGCGCACAATTACACACACACACGAACAAACACACGCACTCACACATCCCGCAATGCATCTACGCATCAATGAGCTCACGCGATCGGTCTGGGCGCAGCGCGTATGCGTAAATAAAACATTAAAACGCATATAATGGACATCATACTCTATTAATCTGATTCATAAAATCTTTCGCGAACAGCTTAACTACTATTTATAGGTTAATAATAACAAAAGTGGAGCATTAAGGTCCAATTTATATCCCTAATGAGACTAATAGTGCTTTATATGATATAACAGGTTCAAGTCTGCCTAGCTCTCAGCGGCGTTTCGCTGTCGTGTTATCGCATTTCATACAACGTAGTGTTATAACATGTTGTGAGATGTTGCGTTATGTTTTGTTATGTTGTGGTGTGTTGTTTTGTGGCGTTTTGTTACATTAAGTTGTTGTATTAAATGACGAGAATGAATTTGTATTCATTACAAAATGATTGTGATCATTTGTCATCCCTGTGTACCATAACCGGACGCACTTACAGATTGTAATATAGAAATATTGCTCTACAAGATTGCATTTGTTCAATTGCTCACGGCAAACAAAAAATTAAAAATATAATAGCTATATAAGTTCAAGCAATCTTAACATTAACAAATAACAACTCAGATAAACCACGGGCTAAGATAGGATTTGACATTGAAATTAATTATATTTTAGCTTTTTTTTATTTTCTGTAAGAACATGATGGAAGTAACAAACTTGTAATTGCGATGATAACCTCCAATCCAGTGTCAGACATCATAACCCTTCAACTATCTCAAATCCTTACTGAATGAAAGTTGAATCAAGAACTTATAAATAGCAAGTCTGAATCAACTTGTAGATTAAGATTTGAGTAGTAATTACAAAAGTAGTAATATGGAAAGTTTTGATTTTAAAAAGATGTATCTCATCGTTTGTATCAAATTATGAGTAACATAGTTGATTAAGTTTTGATTTGTATTTTGTATTGTTTTTTGTATTGTATTTAAATTGTTTTTTGTATTGTATTTTATTTCATTAGTTTTTGTTTAGAAATATTAAAATATTAAATTTTACTGCATTTTATTTTTACTTTACGTACGATATAGTAAAGTATTTATATTTTAATTTATTTTATTGCATTGTATTGTGTTGTATTATTGTATTGTATTGTATTGAATTGAATTGTATTGTTTTGTATTGTATTGTAATGCCTTGTATTGTATTGTAATGTATTGAATTGAAGGATGTGGCATGGTTGAATAGGATGAGGCTCTGCGTTTGAGTGAGTCCATTGTTCTTGCTGTATTCTACTTGCACATCAATGTATTTCACCTGATAACAAAATGATGTGAAACTTCAATCAATCAATCAATCAATCAATCAATCAATCAACCAATCAATCAATCAATCAATCAATCAATCAATCAATCAATCAATCAATCAATCAATCAATCAATCAATCAATCAATCAATCAATCAATCAATCAATCAATCAATCAATCAATCAATCAATCAATCAATCAATCAATCAATCAATCAATCAATCAATCAATCAATCAATCAATCAATCAATCAATCAATCAATCAATCAATCAATCCAACCAATTAGACAATCAATCACTCAGCCAGTCAGATCCTCGTCGGGTGCAATCCAATACTGCAGACCAAATGAAAGATGAATCAGCCAATAAAATGAAGGAATTCCATTTGAAACAATCATTTGTTACTATTTAAGGATAAGCGCATCTGCCAATATCTATTTCTGTCATTCCATCGTAGGTGGTGACGTCACTCGCAAAAACGATGACAACTTGCTAAAAATAAACATGTGACGTCATCGATTCCATTTTTACCATGATGAGGTGTTAGCATCTGATCTCACATGCTTCCTAATGATTTTTACGCTGATGAAAACTTAATTATCTCCTGTGTCTATTCCTCTTTGTATTCAGCTGTTGGTGATGGTGATGATGATGATGGTGGTGGAGATAATGATGGTGATGGTAGTAGTGGTGACGGTGATGATGTTGATGATGATGATGGTGGAGATGATGATGATGATGGTGATGATGTTGATGATGATATTTTATTCATTTTTGTTTGTTTTCTTCATTTTTCTTCATTTTTGTTTGTTTTCTTCATTTTTCTTCATTTTTGTTTGTTTTCTGTTTCCGTGTTTTAGTCTTTCTCATTCTGTCTAAATAATTGAGTTTGTTATTTCTTAAATATTTGTCGCCTTAAATTTATGGCAAACTCCCCGCTCGAGTACATTCCAATCCTTTCTTTTTCATATTATTTCAAATTTATGGGCATGTATTGATACATTAACAGCACCTCCCGTAATTTTCATTCATTTGGCGTTTCTGCATGCAACTGAGTCACCAAGTTTCTTTTAATTATTCAATTTAGTTTCGAGTTCTTCAATAATAATGAACAATGATCTTCACCATCTTCGTCATTTTCACCATCCTCATCATCCTCACCATCTTCATCATCTTCACCACCACATGTAGATGTACAATTTCTCATTCATCAAGCAAACCCATTCTGATTATTTCATTTAATTTTTTTATTCATTCTTTCGATTGTGAAGACGTAAAACTTTTAATTAGTGGCTGCATTTATCGAGCATGGCAATGTTTCAACACACACACATACACGCACATACACGCACATACATTCAGATGCACACATTTACACATCACACACAGAAACGAACACATAACCACGAAACATACATTGAGACACACACATACGCGCACTCTTATAAGACACGCACATACGTACATATATACAAACACACACACACGCGCACGCACACACACACACACACACACACACGTACATAATAGTCCACACGTACATAATAGTCACACACACACGTACATGTCATGTCATGAAATCATGAAATACCGCGACATTAATTAAACACTTTTTTAAAAATAAATAACCAATCAAATAAATTAAACAAATAATTTGCAGTTAAGAAGTTTGATCAAAAAATGTTCAAATGAAGCTCTGAATAGGAAAGAAATTAACAAAAGGTCAAAGAGCAAAACTGGAGGGCAGGATAAAGGGATGGTGGTGTGAGGAGCATAATGGGGGATTTATAATTGAAAAAATCCATTCTATCTTTTTCCAGCATTTCATCTTATTCTAATTGAAACGTTTTATCATCATTTAATTTGGTGATGAAATGGTGAGACGAAGATGAAGTGAAAACATTGATGATGATGAAATGATGATGATGATGATAAGGATAATGATATGATGATGATGATGGTGGCGGTTGTGATGATGATGATGATGATGGAGAAGCTGTGGTGAGAATAATGATAATTTTTTAAAGATGATGGTTTTAACGGTAGTGATTATGATGATGGTGACGATCTCTAGGTTTCTAATTTACTTAAAATGTTTATTTAGGCAGTGATGATGATGAGGAGGAAGAAGAAGAAGATGATGATGGTGATGATAATGATAGACACTTTTGGCATTAAAAATTTTAATTTATTTAAAATTTTGAAACTTTAAATTTTCAGAATGTTTTCTCTAATAAATTAAAAACCAAAATATGGAGAATGATAATAGAAAAATAATCACTTAAGATAGTGATGATGGTGGTGGGGATGAGAAAGATGATGATGATAATAATAATGTTGGTAATGGTGATGATGACAACGACGATGATGATGACGATGATGAAGATGACAAATTAGAAAGAGTAGATGATGATAACAATAACGATGGTGATGATGGTTATTCAAATTTTTTAATGGTGAAAATGAATTTGGCCAATTGGATTAAACCAGACAACTGCTTTTGTTATCATTAATATTATTATTATTACTATTATTATTATTAGTAGTAGTAGCATTAGTAGTAGTAGTAGTGGCAGTAGTAGTAGTAGTAGTAGTAGTAATAGTAGTAGTAATAGTAGTAGTAGTGGCAGTAGTAGTAGTAGTAGTAGTAATAGTAGTAGTAATAGTAGTAGTAGTAGTGGCAGTAGTAGTAGTAGTAGTAGTAATAGTAGTAGTAATAGTAGTAGTAGTGGCAGTAGTAGTAGTAGTAGTAGTAATAGTAGTAGTAATAGTAGTAGTAGTAGTGGCAGTAGTAGTAGTAGTAGTAGTAATAGTAGTAGTAATAGTAGTAGTAGTGGCAGTAGTAGTAGTAGTAGTAGTAATAGTAGTAGTAATAGTAGTAGTAGTAGTGGCAGTAGTAGTAGTAGTAGTAGTAATAGTAGTAGTAATAGTAGTAGTAGTAATCGTAGTAGTAGTAGTAATCGTAGTAGTAGTAGTAATAGTAGTAGTAGTAGTAGTAGTGGTGATGTTGTTGTAGTTGTTACTAATTTTATTACTGCAGGTTGTTTTTGATTTATGTGTTTGTTGTTTTTCTTTTTGTTTTTCATGTTGTATTCAGGTGACCAGACTCGATAAATTTTTTAAAATTTTACTTTGGCCAGTCCTGTAACAATTTATTTTCCATGAAATTTGTGTTGTCGAATAAAATTTAGTTTCGTTTCGCTTTGATTAGTTTAGTTTCGTTTCGTTTAATTTTTTGCCTGTAATAATGTTGTCAGTTACGATGATAGTAAAGGTGATGTTAAAAACTGATCATTAATGAATATATAGCAGTCAAAATTGTTAGCTAGATTGATAGATCCGTGATGATGACGATAATGATGACGTATCAGTGACGATAATGATAATGTATCAGTAATAATAATGATGATGATAACGGTGATGATAATGTTACAACCGTGTGATGATTTGATGATGACGATCTTCGAAAAAAAGTATCATTAAACTCTGCAAAAATGGAATCGAAATAAGATAATGGAAGCCAATGCTGCTGATGCTGATGATGACGACGACCATGACGACGATGATGATGATTATGATTATGACGATATAGATAATTTCTTGCCCATGATAACAAAAAATCTAAAACATCCTCGTAAATTGAAAG